CCTTTTAGTGCCCTGGAACCTGGATTCATAATGGAGATCGTGAGTGCCCAGAAAACAAAATAGTCACCCAAAGTCAGCTGGAACATTTGCTCAACACCACCAGGCTGTGGGAGAAATGGAGCCTTCTCTTGCTTTCTGAGGATGTCTCTGGGAAAGTATTCAGCTAGTAGCATGGTAATTTTTCCAGAATGGAAGCCTTGGCAAAGGCCAAGATAATGCACCCCAGGCCAAGGTAGGGGAGAGAAACCAGGCCATTTGGACCTGGCTATTGTGCCAGGGGTTCCCGAAAGAGGAAAGTGATAATCTTACTGTGACAAAAAAATTATCTCTGGTTGTCATGCCACGGGATGGCCATGGGACTTAAAGATGTGGGCTATAACTGGGCCAGCTTTGGTGTGTCCTGTGAGCAAACAGGAGAGACGCCAAGAAAGCCCTGACCTCCCCACTGAGGTTTGTGCTGTTCAGACTGTGGTTTGGCCCAACACTTTCTGCACTATCGTTGACCCCCTTCATAGACAAACTGGGGCTAGGTTGGAGGCCAAGGTCCTTTCATCCCCAGGGGAGACCAGAGGCCCTATGCTGTGGCCAAGGTGAATTAGAAAACTGAGAGCAACGAAAATTCCCAAAGCCTCACAGGCCTCCTGTGGGCCTCTGTGATACTGGGACATACTCTCAGGCATGGCCAAAAGCTTCCCTCACTAGATTTGGACAAACTGGACGCTGGATTGCCGTAGTTTTGGGGTGAGTCCTTTTGAGCCAACACCCACCCAGGTGGTTGTGACTAATACTGTTGAATATATTGTGGGAGTGGATGTTTTGAGTATGTGTGTTAACGTCTCTTGATTGTAAGGGATGTTCCCGATGGGGAAATGTCACAATCAGGATCATGGTCATTAGGATAGGGACCAGGGGTCATCTCCTCTAATGGAGCCAAGTGGTTACCCCGAAGCAGAGCGGGATAGGGGGATGAAGAAGGGAACTACTGTCTCGATGAAGGAACTAGTAGATTTAAGGGGGCTCAACGACCTGATATCTCCTTGTAATAGCTCTAAGTGGCCACTAACAAAGGCCAATTGCCTGTGGTGCATCACAGATTATTACAAGTCACAGAGCTCATGGCACAGACTGAAGACACCTGGGATGTGGTGGTGGACATTGCTTGCTAATGCCTTTGTTAGCATCCCATTACATCCAAAGGATGAAAATCATCTTGCCTTCATTGGCTTGGGTTGCAATACACCTTTACAGTGATGCCACAGGACTAGCTGAATTCCCCTGTGATTTGCCACCAGTCCTAACTCCTGTAGGAAGAGCAGCACTATGACAACAGATTGCGTGGAACACATGTTCCTGTTCACAACCCATGGAAAGCATGGTGGTTATCTTGTGTGTCCACTTGGCTGAGCCATGGTGCCCAGATCATGGTCAAACATTATTGTGGATGTTGCTGTGAAGGCTTTTTTAGTTGCTTGACATTTAACTTGATGGTCTTTGAGTAAAGCAAATTTCCCTCCATAACGGGGGTAGACCTTATCCAATCAGCCAAAACCCTGCAGAGAACAAGAGACTGACCTCGCCCAATCAAGAGGGAATTCTGCAGCAGATGGCCTTTGGACTTGAACAGCAACATTGGCTCTTCCCTGGGTCTCCAGGGTCTCAGCCTTCAGAACTGAAGTGTAGCATTAGCTCCTCTCCGGGTCTCCAGCCTGCTGGTCTACCCTCTAGATTTTTGACTTGCCGGCTTCCATTATTGCGTGAGCTTATTCCTTTAAACACACAGACACATCCATACATCCTATTGGTTCTTCTCTGGAGAATCTTGGCTAATACAGGCTACCCATGTAAAAGGACCCTTTGACCATGAACATGAGTGGAACCAACAAGCTGGTTAGACCTGCACCACCCAGGTAAGAACTACAGCCACCTGGATCCATTATCACACAGAACGTGGCCGCACAGCTGTAACCCAGGGCCTGGCTAATATGCCTGGACTACTGGCTATACAGTGGAGTGACAGAACTCTGGGGCATGTAGTCTGGGGCACTGAACCTGGCTGGTCATGACAAATAGACAAGATGCGTCTCCCACTTTCTGCTCAATGGTACTGCTGGGCAACAACTGTTCTCGGCAGCTTTTTCCAGAGATGGACAATTCCTGTCTGCACGGTAGATGTAGGCCCTACCATTTAAAGACTCCTAAATGGGCCGTGTTGCACATTTGGGTTCTCCAAACACAGACAATCAGACAGTGGTGCTTTCATAGCCAAGAACACTGGGCAGTGGGTAACTACCTGTGGCATTCCCCGGACATTGCATGCCCTGTATCACTGACAGGTAGCAGGTGCCAACAAAAAATGGGACGTACTCTTTTTTTTTTTTTTTTAAGATTTTTATTTATTTATTTGACAGAGAGAGACAGCGAGAGAGGGAACACAAGCAGGGGGAATGGGAGAGGGAGAAGCAGGCTTCCCCGCGGAGCAGGGAGCCCGATGTGGGGCTCGATCCCAGGACCCTGGGATCATGACCTGAGCCGAAGGCAGACGCTTAACGACTGAACCACCCAGGTGCCCCTGGAACGTACTCTTAAAGGAAAAACTAAAAAAGATAAGTAGACGGCCGAAGCTCAGCTCCCAATGGAGCCCACCCTTGAGACGAGGCGGTGTGAATTCCGAACGTGGCAATTCCAGGAAAGGGCAGTTCTCACTCAGATAGTGTTTAACTATAAGGTTGAGAGGGAGAAAAGAGGCCTCAACTGGTCTCCTTTACTCTTTCTTTCCCCTCTCATCCCTGCCTCCAGGAAACCAGGCTCCTGGGACCTACCGCAGCAAAGAAGAGCCGGGGGTGGGAGATCCTAACCTGGTGTTTCTCCTACTGCCCTTGTTATGGGGGCTGAGGACATTAGGCCTATATTGACCTGCCAAACACAAACCAGTCTAAAGTCTGTAGTGCAAGTGGTGATGGACAGTTCTTTTGCTCCCTGAACTTTGTGCTAGCCAGTCAAGGCAGCATATTGACGGCTTCTAACACCTCTTGCTGCTCTCGAATTAATGAATTAGGACAGGTGGAGTGATCTATCTCTCGGCTCTAAGGTTGATCCCTGGTGGCATCTGGGATATCGTGGTTTGGCTCCGAGTAGGGAGCCTGGCTGTGGTCGGTCCTCCACGTGGGCCTGATCACCCTACTGGGAGGCACAGTTGCGGGCACTCTCATCTGATGTTAAGACAAATAGAAAGGATTTGGTCCAAGCTCCCATCAGTACAACTAACTCTCTGATGGAGTGGCTATGCTCCTGAAAAGAATTCTTAGCTGGAGAAATGAAAGGTTGGGGTGGCAGGAAGTAGAGGCGTAGGAAGCAGCTCCGACACAGCGCCCTGATGCCCTTGTCCAGCTGCCGATAGGCCACGAAGGTGAGGCTTGACCACAGAACCACCCAAGTCTTGGCAGAACGCATTATGATTCCCCCTGGAGCCAGAGGACAGAAGCAGCCTGACAGTGTGGGGACACTGCCCCCAGGCCCTCTCCCAGCCCTCCTCCTAGTTCATCTGAGTGCCAGGCTTTCCACCCGGCCCCTCCCTCCACTTCGAGGGCAGCTGCAGGCCGTGAAAGTGTCCGATTGTTGTTGAGTTGGCTCCTTAGCCACAGAGAGACCTACCACCTCGCTGCCTATCATCTGGTCCCTCCAGTTCACTCTGGTCCTCTGGGGAAAGCTGACACCATGCTGGTTTTGCTTTTGCTGTCTGCGTGAGTAGAAAGCTATCTGGATCCATGGGGGCTTGTCGACAAGTCTCCTTACTGGCTGAGGCTACAGAAATGTGGCAGGCCCACCTAGCAGCTTCTGTAGTGACCCTCGTTAGCCACCATGCTGTGCTTAGGGACTGCTTGACCTCTTGACAGAGGGGAACATTTTGGGGTTGATGGGAATGTTCCATTTTGATCTGAGTGGTGATTATCCTTGTGCATACATTCATCAAAACTAAGCTGTACACTTAAGACTTGTGCCATAGACTGTGAATTATATGTCAATTAAAAAAAAAAATCACCAGGGAACAAACAGGAGGTCTTGAAAATTATGATCGCCAAAATGAGAAATTCAACAGAAAGGTTGGAAGATAAATTTCCCAGAACACAGGGCAAAACACAGAGACATAGGGGACCATGAACCTAGCCTAAGTCTAACACCATAGTACCAGGCCTTTCAGTTCGTAAATAAACTTAGAAGAATGTTTGTGGTGATAAAAGAGATGGCAGTTAAAACAATGAGATGACAGTTTAAATCTGGTTAATCAAATAAACTGTGTAAGCAATATTCAACAGTCTGTCATTGATAGCACAATCCTTTGGGGGAGCAATAGAACGCCAAGTATACTCAGTCACATGGGTCTTTATCTTTAAAGCCCAGGTAACCTCACTGTCGCCCATCTGTCCTAAGGTAACACTATAAAAAGAAAAATGTGGAATTCAGGGAGATGTTCACTGCGGTATGGTTTATGATGCTGCAAAATTATGAACCACACAGATGCCCAGGGAAAGGAGAACCACCACGAAAATGATGTCTTATTGACGGGGTGGCAAGCACGGAAAGGGATCGTGATCACTGCAGGGCACCCACGGGAGGCAGCACCCCTTGGCCTGGGGAGCGTAACCGCATCAAGTTGAGGCGACCCGGAGCGGAAGAGGGCGGGCCCGGAAAATGGGCTTCACGTTCGGCAGCTGAAATGGAGGAGGACTGCTTCTACTACTGCTTGGCAATGCGAGGACGCTGGTAAGAGCCAGAAAAATAAAGTTGCGCGCCCCTCGCAGCGCGCCGAGGCCGGGCCCGGGCTGCGGCTGCGCACTGCGGCCCTGCTGCCGGCGCCCCGGGGCGGTGGCGGGGAGCGCGCGGGAGGCGCCGGGCCGGCGGGAGGGGGCGGGGCGGGGCGGGGCGGGGCTGGCGCGGAGGGGGCGCGGCGCGGCTGTCTCCGCCCCCCGCGCTGGTCAGCCGGGCGGCCGCGGGAGGCGGGAGGGCAGGCGCGGCGGAGCGTGCGGGCGGCCCTGGCCCCGCGGGAGCGTGGCTGCGGCGCGCGGGGCGGGCGGCGACGGCTGGGCGGACGCCCGCCTTCGCTTGCGTCGCTGCCTCCGCGCGGGCCGCCGGCCCCGGGGATGTGAGGGGCGCAGCTCGGCCGGCGGGGCCCGGAGGCCGGCCGCGGACGGTAACGCGCCGGGCGGACCCGGGGGAGGGCTCCGACTGCGCCCCGGGCCGCGGCCGGGGTGGGCGGCAGTAGCGCGAGCGGCGCTCCGGATCGGAGGCGGCCCGCGGTTCCGCACCCGGCCGTTGTCGTTGCGGTCTCCGGGGCCGGGAGGGTCGGCGAGGGCCGCGGCCGGGAGGGCAGGGAGGGCCGGGAGGGGGCTGGGCCGGCCGGCGGGTGGGCTACCGAAGACCCGATGGCAGGTGCCTACCCACCCTGTGACCCAGCTCTCTCCCCGCAGCTCCACCCACTTTGGCCTAGACCCAGCCTCCAAGGGCTAAAAATATTGCCCGGAGGCTTCTGAGCGGAATCAGATCGTGCTAAGTAGGGCACGACGCACAGAGGCGACAGAGCTCCTCGGCCCCAGGGCGGGAGCCAGTCTCCGGAGCGGCGGTTCCGCCCACGCTCGGCCCAGCAGCTAGCGGCCTCCCTAGACCCGAGCAGGCAAGTGGGGGCCCCGCGGGCGGTGGCAGCGGGCACTGGCCCTCTGAAGTTGCCCCACAGCGGAGCAGCTGTGCTCAGCATCTCCCTAGCCAGGGGACCTTGGGCACCAATCACTGCTGGCTTCCCAGGGGGTCCGCCAGGTGCTCTAGAAGCGAAGGCTGAAAGTTACCCACTGCAGGAATCGGAACTAGCCGGGAGAAGACTGCAGGGCCCGCTGGATGTTAGAAACAAGCTGCTCTTGCAGCTTTGTAAACTCATTCTGTTTTTCTTAATGAGAGACGTGCTGTGCCAGGCACTCTCTGCTGAGCATCGGTCTGATCCAAGAGGAAGAAAGGTTTCCCTCTCCGTTTCCTTAAATTCAAACTAAATCCCAGTTTAGTCCTCTGAAACCAGAAGCACGTGGCCAAGCAGGCTGGACACCCACCTCCTTTGACTGGCTGTGTCCTTCCTGTAGGCAAGCTCTACGGGAAGCTAGTCATAATCAGGAGGTTGTGTGGTGCACTCTGGAGTCAGAGCTGGGACGTTTGTTATCCAGTCGTGTTACCCTGGGAAGGAGCATCCTCTGCATCCTAGGGGCTGAGCTGCCACCAGGACCAGGCAGGACGTGCTTCAGATGTGCTCCTCGCGCTTTCCAGTGTCTCAGCCAAGAGAGGAGGCTCCACAGCCAATGGTGGGATTTGGTGCTTAGAAACTCGCTTTTCTTCGGAGTCAGGCAAATAGGTGTTCCTTGAGAGTAGCACTCAGGAACTCTTTGGGGCATTTGGTGGAAAGACCAACAAAGGGATTTTGCCTGCTGGAGCCGCATATGGTGTCCCTCCTGCCAGGTGTGTGGAGGCCAGCATGAAGCTGAAAAAGCAGGTGACAGTATGTGGGGCCGCTATCTTCTGTGTGGCCGTCTTCTCGCTCTACCTCATGCTGGACCGAGTGCAGCATGATCCCACCCGTCACCAGAATGGCGGGAACTTCCCCCGGGTGAGTCATGCCTGCTTGCTAATCTCTTCATATACAAGTCCTCTGAGCTCAGGTCGAGAGTCAGTGTCAGCCCAGGACAGGAACACTGCTTCCCGATCGGCAGATTTTCTAGACACGCGAAGGTAAAAACAAGGATAGCAAAAAAGGAAGAAGGAAGGAGACACATGTCCTGCCACTCTGTCCTCCTGAATTCTTGGCAGACATTGCTAATGGATTGCAGCCTTCTTTCCCACTAAGCCCGGATGCAGTCCTTGTCCGCACAGTGCTCCAGACGGGCCACACCAGTTGTGGAGAATAGGCCTGCGCGGTGAAATCTTCGCCCTTCTGGGAGCCAGGGCGTGAGGGTACTCCCCAGCCAAGTGGACTGGGGTCCTCTGTAGTGATTTGCAGATCTCCCCTCATCTGGCCAGAGCCATCCAGGCCCGTAGGCTCCTGGTTCTGCCTGCACTTGGGGAGGGAAGGATCACAGTCAGGCCTCGGGTGGTGGGCCCCATGCAGAGATCCTCCCTGTGGCACCAGGAGCCGTGGGTGATTGCTTTCTGGTGTTTTGGCAGAGCCAAATTTCTGTGCTGCAGAACCGCATTGAGCAGCTGGAGCAGCTGTTGGAGGAGAACCATGAGATCATCAGCCACATCAAGGACTCGGTGCTGGAGCTGACAGCCAATGCGGAGGGCTCGCCCGCGCTGCTGCCCTACTACACGGCCAATGGCTCCTGGGTGGTGCCCCCAGAGCCCCGGCCCAGCTTCTTCTCCATCTCCCCTCAAGACTGCCAGTTTGCTTTGGGGGGCCGGGGCCAGAAGCCAGAGCTGCAGGTAGGGGGTCAGCGCTGGCGGGGAACTCTGGTGGTTGTGGATGGGCACTGAGCTGCTCCCTGGCCTGGCAGATGCTGACCATATCAGAGGAGTTGCCCTTCGACAACGTGGATGGCGGCGTGTGGAAGCAAGGCTTCGACATCTCCTACAGCCCGCACGACTGGGACACTGAAGCCCTGCAGGTGTTTGTGGTGCCTCACTCCCACAATGACCCGGGTGAGGACCCAGCAGAGCCCTGGGAGCTGGGCTGTGCAGGGGGCTTTCCGGTGGCAGAGGTAAGCGAGGGGCCGACGAAGATGCTGGCGTCCTTAGGGGACCCTGTGTTGGCTCCCCAGGCTGGATCAAGACCTTTGACAAGTACTACACAGAGCAAACCCAGCACATCCTCAACAGCATGGTGTCCAAGCTGCAGGAGGACCCCCGGCGGCGCTTCCTCTGGGCAGAAGTCTCCTTCTTTGCCAAGTGGTGGGACAACATCAATGCCCAAAAGAAAGCAGCAGTCCGCAGGCCAGTGCCCACTGGGGAGGCCCTACCCTCTGGGCCCCGGGATGGGTGCCAGAGCAGCTGGAGGCCAAGCTGTGGGTGCCAGGGTGGCAGGGAGAGGAAGGGGGAGCAGGGCAGGGAGGAGTGATAGTAGAGGGGCTGAGGCTAAGAAGACAGTCACTGGTGTTGGGAGAAATCAGAGTCACAGCGAAGAAGGAGCACGGGGCCTGGCCCTGGGAAGCGCAGACGGAGGTCCAGAGAGAGGCAGGGCCAGGACAGCATGGAGGTTGTATGTGGGGAGAGGAGGGTGCACATTTGTTCTGTTGGTCCTGGGGTCGGGTGAGCGGGCTTGGTGAGGCCAGTGCGCACAGGTCCTGGCATCTTCTGGTTGGCAGGACTGGGCAGAGCATCCCTGCCCCGTGCTGAATGTGCACCCTTCACTCCAGGCTGGTGGGAAACGGGCAGCTGGAGATTGTGACAGGAGGCTGGGTGATGCCGGACGAGGCCAACTCCCATTACTTTGCGCTCATTGACCAGCTCATTGAGGGACACCAGTGGCTGGAGAGAAACCTCGGTGAGTCTGGGCTCAGGAATGAGAGTCTGCTCCCATAGCTGGGCCGAGGGGACAGCAGGGGCCTGTGAGGCGCAGGGGTGGGGGTAGGGGATTCCTTTGTAAGTTGATTCCACCAGCCTGGGCCTGGCGTGATGGCAAGAAGAAAGCTGGGTCCCCAGGACAGGAGGCCCGGTCCTGAAGTGTTCAGGACCTCTGGCTCCCGTGTCCTCTCAGGTGCGACCCCGCGCTCTGGCTGGGCAGTGGACCCCTTTGGACACAGCTCCACCATTCCTTACCTGCTGCGCCGTGCCAACCTGACCAGCATGCTGATCCAGAGGGTGCATTACGCCATCAAGAAGCACTTTGCTTCCACCCACAGTCTGGAGTTCATGTGGAGGCAGACCTGGGGTAAGACCAGGTAGGGTGGAGGGGGGGCGGGGTTACAGTTCTCCCTGGGGAAGGACAGGGGGATGAGAAATAAGACCCGGTGTCCTTCGGAGCACGCCAATGAGCACTAGTACAGACAGCCAGAGTGCTCTCCTCCTTCAGGGGAGGTCAAGGGTCACGTTGACCTCTGGCCTCTGCGGGGCCTGCTCTCTGTCCTGAGGGTCTGAGCGTCCCACCCCCTGGAGGAGCTGTGGGCTCCAGAGCCCTCCCTGTGTCCCGAGCCTCGGCCCGCACATCATCTGCAGCCTGAGGTCTGGTTCAGGCCTCACCTTATGTCAGAGCTTCCCGTAGCTGGAGCAGATCCCCGCCCTGCTGCCACCCCCACGGCCAGCTCCAGAGGCTGCCTGCTGGTGGCCGACCGCCCGCTGTGTCTTCTCCAGACTCGGACTCCGACACGGACATCTTCTGCCACATGATGCCCTTCTATAGCTATGATGTGCCCCACACCTGTGGCCCGGATCCCAAGGTCTGCTGCCAGTTTGACTTCAAACGCTTGCCGGGCGGACGCATCAACTGCCCCTGGAAGGTGCCACCCCGGGCGGTCACAGAGGCAAACGTGGCCGAGAGGTACTTGTCCCCGGCCTGTGCTGGGCCATTTCACTGCAGGGAGGAGCCGGGAGACCTGGCCTCGCTCCAGGCTCCGCTGCACGGGGGTGCTTCGGGTCATACCTCTGTAGAATGGGGGGAGGGCACAGGTGGTGAGTTCAGGTCCATAGCCGCTAAGGTGCAGCACCTTTTCTGAGCCTCCCTGGAAAACTAGAGCTGCCCTAGGGAACCCCCTTTGCCAGAATGGTTTTATTTTCCCAAATGAGTATGTTGCCCAGCCAGAGCTGGTTGACTGACTCAGAAGTGAACAATTCTCAAAATAGGTAAAGTTCCTTGCCCTGTGGCCTAATGTGCCTTCATTTAGCGCAGGCATCCTGCCTTAGCCCAAAGTTGGCCAGGATCCCCAGCGGTCATGGACCTGGAATCCCACTCAGTCCTGCCCAAGGGCCCCCAGCCTCAGAGAAAGCCCATCTGCCCTCTTGAGGGTCGTTAGGGACTCCTAAAGATGTCTCTGTTGCTGAAGTCAGCGCCCCGTCCCTGGGAAAGGGCAGGTTAAGAGTGACCTAGAACAGTGGGTTGGCCGGAACCGACCGGCCTTGAGAATATAACAAGTTGAACTGGTTTTCGTGTTGCAGTAACTCTGATTTCCATGATGTCCAAGAGGTGAAACATCTGACCAAAGGGAAAGAAAGTGGTCTTTTGTTTCTGAAACCCAGAAATCTGAATGCCGATTCTAAGCAAGAATCTAGGGCTGTTAAGGCCTGGTATTTCCCAAAGCGCATCTGTGACCTACAGATGCCAGCCCAGGTTTGCGGAGAGCAAGTCATGAGAGTAACTACGTTTTCTCCTTTGAAAGGCTTAATAGGCTGAGAAATTAGGGGAAAATGGTGTTCAAGGAGTCCTCTCTCGAGAGCAAAGTAGGAAAGTACCAGCTGGATCAGCACAGTTAAGTAGATCAGTGGCTGGTTGAACCATGGTACCCGCGATGTGCCAATTACTAGGTTGGTCTGAAAAGAGAAAGGGCCTTTAATGAGAGGCTGCAAGGCTCTGTTTTTTTATTGATTTTACGAGTAACTTGACTGAAAAAGAAAATGATGAATGTGTGTTTATAGTTTCTGCTATGAGTCAGGCACAGTTCTAAGTGTTTAATATATATTAAATCGCTTAGTCTGTTTTAATTTTCATAACATCATGGTGGTAGGTACTGACATTCTCATTTTATAAAAACTGAGGCCCAGAGAGGTTAACTAACTTGCCCAGGGTCACTCAGCCTAGTCCGTGTGGAGCTGGCATAGTCTGGCTCTGATTCTAGGCTCTTTGGTGTTGTGCTGTGTTTGCTCCCTGGTGGGCAAAGTGAAGCTGGAGTGTCAGGATCGGGATCCTCCAAGATCTCAACAGGTTGTGTGTGATGTGGGTCGAATCTAACCAGATGAGATTTACTAGATATAAACGTAAGGTTCCCCTCTTAGCCTCAGAAAACAGCATAGAAAAGTTCAGGATGAGAAGGAACTTGAACCGCAGGCATGGGAAACATGCACGCTGGCTGACGTCAGCCCTGGGGGTGACTGTAGGGCTGCCAGAGATGCCCCTGTTGATGCGCCCCCACACCGGTGGCCCACCTGGACGCCTGCATCCAGTGCCGGGCCCTGCGCTCTGAGGGACACAGGCACAGGGTGCTGGGGAACCGCTGGAGATGGAGGGACCCAGGCGATGGAGGAGCTGGGCTTGCGGAGCTGGAAGGGGAGGCCCAGAGGACGTCTTGCATACGTCTGAAGGAGAACCCCAGGGGAGGGGAGTGCTGCGTTCTGCGTGGTGTCCAAGGGCGGCCCTGGAGTCCAGGACCTGTAGCCGGAAACTGCAGCCTAGCCTAGGAAGACCTCCCCTGTTGTCAGAACCGTCCAGAGAACACGGGGCTCCCGGGGACAGGTTTCCCACTCCGGGAGATGCCCACCACAGGCCCCGTGACTCCTCGCTGGGTGTGTTCAGGGGCCCTCTGCGGCTGGCTCTGCTCGGTTCCTCTTCCGCCCAGACTCCACTTGGGCCCGGGCCCTCTCCCCCCACCCCCGCAGGGCCACGCTGCTTCTGGACCAGTACCGGAAGAAGTCTCGGCTGTTCCGAAGCAATGTCCTCCTGGTGCCGCTGGGGGACGACTTCCGATACGACAAGCCCCAGGAGTGGGATGCCCAGTTCTTCAACTACCAGCGGCTCTTTGACTTCCTCAACAGCAAGCCCGACCTCCACGTGCAGGTGGGAGGGGGCGCCGAGCTGGGGGGTGGGTGGGGGGTCCCTCCGCAGTGCTGCAGCCTGGCCTGGCAGGTTACCAGCTCCAGGGCAGGGGTTTGTGCCCGACTCTTGGGCAAGGGTCTCCCTTTTTTTTTTTAAAGATTTTATTCATTTATTTAATTGACAGAGAGAGACAGTGAGAGAGGGAACACAAGCAGGGGGAGTGGGAGAGGGAGAAGCAGGCTTCCCGCCGAGCAGGGAGCCTGATGCGGGGCTCGATCCCAGGACCCCGGGATCATGACCTGAGCTGAAGGCAGACGCTTAACCGACTGAGCCACCCAGGCGCCCCAAGGGTCTCCCTTTTTTTTAAAGATTTATTTATTCTGAGAGAGCGAGAATGAGAGAGAGAGAGAGAGTACATGAGTGGGGGAGGGTCAGAGGGAGAAGCAGGCTCCTCGCTGAGCAGGGAGCCTGACGCGGGACTCGATCCTGGGACTCCAGGATCATGACCTGAGCCGAAGGCAGTCGCTCAACCGACTGAGCCACCCAGGCGCCCCAAGGGTCTCCCTTTTATGTCAGAATTCCTTCCTGGGCCCCCCGCGTCTGCGTGTGGGCCAGCAGGGTAGGACGTGCCATGACTGCCTGTGCGTAGGCAGAGTCCCTACTCCTGGCGCTCAGCTGCAGCACTCGGGGCCACAACTCCTAGAAACTCTGGAACTGATGGGAGCGGGTTTGGGGGGGTCTCCACAGGCCCAGTTTGGCACCCTCTCTGACTATTTTGACGCTCTGTACAAGAGGACCGGGGTGGAGCCAGGGGCCCGGCCTCCAGGGTTCCCTGTGCTGAGCGGGGATTTCTTCTCCTATGCGGACCGGGAGGACCATTACTGGACCGGCTATTACACTTCCCGGCCCTTCTACAAGAGCCTGGACCGGGTCCTGGAAGCCCACCTGCGGTGAGACTCAACCCCCTTCCAGGCCGGAGGGAGGAGAATAAGCCTTTGGGGTTTAAGGAGGAGCTGGATTGGCTCAGAATGCACTGGAAGGGCTTGGCGACAAGGCAGGCGGAGACGTGGTGGAAAGCAGGGGGCGGGGCTTGCTGAGCGAGGCCGGCCTGGGAGTCGTGTGGCCGGGAGGCTGACTGACCCCTCTCTGGGCAGGGGGGCAGAGATCCTGTACAGCCTCGCTGTAGCTCACGCCCGCCGCTCTGGACTGGCTAGCCGGTACCCGCTCTCCAACTTCGCCCTCCTGACGGAAGCCCGGCGCACTCTGGGCCTCTTCCAGCACCACGATGCCATCACCGGCACGGCCAAGGAGGCCGTCGTGGCAGACTACGGCGTCAGGTGGGGGCTGTCCTCCGCGTCGGATCCACGCCCGGCCCGCTGTCCTAAAGAAAGGCCGAGCTGGGCAGTCAGCGAGCGGGCAGGCCTGCCGAGGGCTCTTCCTGCTGGAGAGGCGGACGGTCTGTCGGTGGCTGTCTTCTCCATGCCCACCGCCGCCCCCTCTCCCGCCCCCAGGCTCCTGCGCTCCCTTGTCAACCTGAAGCAGGTCATCATCAATGCAGCTCACTATCTGGTGCTGGGGGACAAAGAGACCTACCACTTCGATGCCGAGGCACCCTTCCTCCAAATGGTGAGCCCCGCTTCTCGATCCGCTCGGGGCGCTCTCGGGAGCGTGCAGTCCCATCCAAGAGCTGCGGTATGAGGGTGTTGCTCTTCTTTTCCCGCCTGCCCTGGAGCGAAAGATCGGTGCCCAGTGCGGCTGGTGGTCCACAGCGAGGACAGGCAGGGGCTGGGGAGGAGGCAAGGCTCTGAGCTAGGCCAACCGCAGGACGGTTCTTCCTTCCCACCCATTTAACCCCAGGATGACACCCGCTTAAATCACGATGCCCTGCCAGAGCGCACAGTGATCCAGCTGGATTCCTCACCCAGGTGAGCCAGACCAGGCCAGGCGCGGAGGCGAAGCCACTCTGGCTCCCAACACCATTTCCCACCCACACCTGCCCAAGCACCACAGGACTCGGCGGAAGTGCCACCACTCCCGTGGGTGCCCGGGAACAGTGGCCTCCGAGGTGAGCCTGCCTCTCCCCGCAGGTATGTGGTGCTCTTCAACCCCCTGGAACAGGAGCGGCTCAGCGTGGTGTCCCTGCTGGTCAGCTCGCCCCGGGTGCGTGTCCTTTCAGAGGAGGGTCAGCCCCTGGTGGTGCAGATCAGTGCACACTGGAGCTCTGCCACCAACATGGTCGCTGATGTCTACCAGGTGAGCAGGGGCCCCCAGGGTGGGCCCCAGCCCTCGGTGCTGACCCGGGGCCTCTCTCTGCCTGTGACACCAGCCTCCCACCCTCCCACTTCCTGCCCAGCTTGGGGACAGGGGTCCTGGGGAGGGGGTTGCCCAGAGGACAGTCACTCCTGGGACTTGAGTCTGTCCTCGAAAGGAAGGCGAAGTTTGGTAGGAGCAGCGGGTGGACGTGGAGAATACTAGAAATGGGGGCTAGGTTGCCCTGCCATTCCTTCATTCAGCAAGTGTTTACAGAAAGTTTAACGTGCGCTTCCCGCTTCGTAGTTGCTCAGGTATCAGGTGAGACTCCTGAAAGTGACTAGAGGCAAGCGATGTCACCTCCACTTTCAGAGGCGGGGCGGGGGGGTGCGTACCGAGGCCCCAGGAGGTATCAGCATTTGCTCGGACTTTCTCAGTGAGGAAGTGAATGCCCCAGGCCTAGATCCCAGGCCCGCGTCCAGAATGGATGCCCACGCTACGTGGGCCGCGCTGCCTCACCCCTCCCTCCCTCCCTCGGCCCTCCCTCCCTCACCCCTCCCGCGGCAGGTGTCTGTGCCCATGCGCCTGCCGGCCCTGGGCCTCGGCGTGCTGCAGCTGCAGCTGGGCTTGGACGGGCACCGCACCCTGCCGTCCTCCGTGCGCATCTACTTGCATGGCCGGCAGCTGTCCGTCAGCAGGCAGGACGCGTTCCCTCTGCGCATCATCGACTCGGGCGTCAGTGACTTCGCCCTCAGCAACCGCTACATGCAGGTCTGGTTCTCAGGCCTCACCGGGCTCCTCAAGGTAAAGGGCCAGGGCAGGGGGCTGGGGAGGGCGTGCCTGGCGGTGGGCCGGAGCTGAGCTGCCGCCTGACTGGCGGGGGGAGCCGCCGGGGGGCACAGCATGGGGAAGCTGGGCTGGTTCCTTGGGGGAGTTCGTCCGTGCCCTCCCAGGGGGCAGGCCTGACATGCTGGTGTGGGGCCAGGGGTCAGGGCTGTGTTTTTTGGCAGAGCATCCGAAGGGTGGACGAGGAGCAGGAGCAGCGGGTGGACGTGGAGTTCCTCATCTATGGCACCCGTGGGTCCAAAGACAAGAGTGGAGCCTACCTCTTCCTGCCTGATGGGGAGGCCCAGGTACCGTAAAGACTCCTCAAAAACTCAGCAGGCCCTGGGGGGCCCCACTAACGGAGGGTCCGAGGAGCCCTGTGAACTGAGGCAGCGGGGAGGGCACGGGCCTTCTCCCAGGGCCATCCCTGCCTGCCGGGGGCTCTGCCCGCGCTGCCTCTGGGAGGTGGGGTAGGCTGAGGAGCGTCAGCTGGGGCCTCGGGCCAGCTCAGCCTGGGGTCTCCAGCTGGAGCCTGCTGGGAACAGGTATTTCTGCCAACGCTGGGCCGGTACCTCCCCACTCCGCCTTCCGTGCTATGGCTTCAGCTGCCGCCTGCTCTGTCCGCAGCCCTACGTCCCCAAGGATCCCCCCGTGCTGCGTGTCACCGAAGGCCCTTTCTTCTCCGAGGTGGTTGCCTACTACGAGCATGTCTGCCAGGTGGTCCGGCTTTATAATCTGCCAGGTGAGCCTGCTTGATGAGGAAGGTCAGAGTAAAGGTCAGGGCTGCATGGGGCTATGCCACGCTCTTCCTTCTGCCCGTTCTCTGCTCATGTGTCTGTTCCCAGCAAACGGATCATCTGAGACGGGGATGACGTTAATTCTCTTGCAGTGAAGGCCCTCCAGAAATGCTGGGAGTTGCCGGGGGGTTGTGCGCGGCCTCCCCCAGCCCATCTCTCAGGCCTCTCCATGCTCTCCCTTTGTCCTTCTGCCTAGGGGTGGAGGGGCTGTCTCTGGACATGTCATCCCTGGTGGACATCCGCGACTATGTCAACAAGGAGCTGGCCCTGCGCATCCACACAGACATTGACAGCCAGGGTGCCTTTTTCACGGACCTCAATGGCTTTCAGGTGATTCCCGGGGCCCTGGGAATCACCAGTGTGCCCTGATGGGGGAAGAGGAATCCGAGGCGAGAGTGATCAGGGACTCCTTCAGACTGGGAACCCCTGGGGCCCAAATGGTGCCCGGACACCCTTGATCTGTTGGCTTTCCTGTCCCAGGTGCAGCCCCGGCGCTACCTGAAGAAGCTGCCCCTGCAGGCCAACTTCTACCCCATGCCAGTCATGGCCTACATCCAGGACGCACACAACCGCCTCACGCTACACACCTCCCAGGCCCTGGGGGTCTCCAGCCTGCACGATGGTGAGTGGGGAGCGGCAGCTAGGGGGCTATGGGGAGGGTGAAGGACGAGGCAGAAGCCCATCTGTGTCCCAGGGCCTCTCCTCTCAGCAGGCCCCACCCCTTTCCAGTCCACGTCACCTCCATGCTTGGAGAACGTTAACAGCACCTGTCAGTCACACACGGCATGGCAGGAAGGCAGACGCGTGCTGTCACCCTGTCCCCTAGTGGAGGCAGCCATGGAGGTGACCTGGGGGTGGGGGTCCTGTTGGGTTCCTTTAAGAAGCACCAGGGTATTGAACAGTGATTCTTAACTGAGCTGTGCAGCCCCCTTCCCCTGGCCAGGGATGGAAGTAGGGATGGTTGGAAAAGTGCGTCTGATGTTATAATGAAATATTTAACAGGGGTGCCTGGGTGGTTCATTCGGTTAAGCGTCTGACTCTTGATTTCGGCTCAGGTTGTGATCTCGGGGTTGTGAGATTGAGCCCCATGTTGGGCTCCACGCTGGACATGGAGCCTGCTTGAGATTCTCTCTCTCCCTCTCCCCCACCTCTTGCTCTCTTGCTCTAAAAAAAAAAAAAAAAAATTTTTTTTTTAAATTAAAATAGATTTAGCAAAGGAGAAAAATATATAGTGTTTCCCTACTAATGGTCACTGAAAGAGAGAATGGCGTTCTTAACTGAAACAAAGCCATGAGGAGTACTGGGCTGGAGCTGGGCATGCTGGGCAAGCTGAGGTGGCTCCGTGTCCTCAGGGTAAAGGGAGCAGTTTGCACTTGGCCTTTGAGGACTTCAGATCTTCCACGTTTGGGTTGGAGCCTTTGTGCAGGGCTGAGCTGAGAGCACTTGGTTCAGGCTGTGCTGGGGGCCGGTGGCCGGGACACTGGAGGCCTGACCCCCTGCTGAAGGAGTGTGTCTCTGCTGCCCCTTCGCCCAGGATCGCCCTGCTGTCAGACTTTGCCCGGCTGTCTGTGCCATTGGCTGCTAGCTGAGCCCGGTGTCCCCCCGCCCCCTTGATTGTCTCTGCCCTTTAGGGAAACAGGGTGCTCAGATTATTGCTTGTTGTTTTGTTTTGTTTTTTAAAGATTGTATTCATTTACTTGAGAGAGAGAGAGAGCAAGACAGCACGAGCAGGGGGCAGAGGGAGAGGGAGACGCAGACCCCACCCCCCCGCTGAGTAGGGAGCCCGACATGGGGCTCGATCCCAGGACAAGATCACGGCCTGAGCCAAAGGCAGACGCTTAACCGACTGAGCCACCCGGGCGCCCCAGGATTATTGCTTTATACTCCTGGGGTCATTTTAGGGCTTCCGGATATCTTTCCAAAAAAAGGTTGCTCAGGGTAGAAACACTTAGGAACTACAGAAGTCAGAATCGGGCTGGGGAGAGGGATAGGGCCACCTGAGTACACTTCCTCAAGAGATTCTTAAAAAAACAGGTGCTGGGAAAAATCCTCACCCTGACATAGGTCAGCTTTGCGGTGAGCCCCTTCCCCAAGCATATTTTACAAAGAAACCCTAGGCGATCATCTGCCATTTCTTCCCCGCCGGGCACCGCTCAGTGATACCTAATGTGAGCTTGTGTCTGATCTGCCATCTGCCTGCCGTCTGCGCTCCCCTTGTGACGGATGCGGCGGCCGAGCTGGAGTCCGTCCCAGTGTAGAGCAGGGGCGGCCGGGCATGTTCTAGTCACAGCAAAGTCTGCCCGAGCTGCGTGGCCTCAGGCTTCTGCAGCAAGCGCTGGGCCTCCCAGAGCAGTTCTGTGTTCGCTTGCTTACTTCGTGCAAGCGGCCAGTCCAGATGTGGTCCCCAGCCTGAGCTCCCGGCCCTGCCCCCAGTCCTGAGGCACAGCGCGCGCCTGCCCGCTCTGGGCCTCTTGCTCGCTCATCTGTGACTCTGGCCCTTCGCTCAGCCCCCTTCCAGCCTAGGTCCCAGGGTGCGTCCTCTCCCGAGTGACTGCTTCCAGCGAGCTCACCGGCCGTTTCCCTCGGGGCCTGTGGTGGGCATTCTTCTTCCAAAGCCCGACATCTGCTTGGGGATGGGGGTCGCAGGCCCGGGGCTCACAGTTAACGTCCCCAGGCCAGCTGGAGGTGATCCTGGACCGACGGCTGATGCAGGATGACAACCGGGGTCTGGGCCAAGGGCTCAAGGACAACAAGAGAACCTGCAACCATTTCCGCCTCCTGTTCGAGCGGCGAACCCTGGGCAGTGAGGTAAATTCTGGGCCTCCCTCCCCAGGAGCCAGGTCAGGCTGGTCCCTTGGGCGGCAGAGCTAGAGGCGGGCGAGGGGTAGTGAGTGTAGGGCTCTTCCGGGGGTGTGGGGAGTGAGTCTGACGCTCTGCTGCTCCATCTCAGCCTGGCACCTCCGTCTCCCACAGCCTCTCCCGCCATCCTCTGTGCCCCCCACCCCCACCGCGTCCTCTAACCCTCTCTGCTCCGGCCACATTCATCTCATGGCTTTCTTTGCCCCCACCAGCCTGGCTTTTTCTCCAAACTGGCAGCCATGTTTAGGGACTTGGTCTTTCAGAGCAGCAGGAGCGGTAACCTCGAGGTAAGGGCCAGCGATGGGGTGTGGAACTAGCGTTAGCGAGTCGTAACTGGCGTCAGAGCCTGGGGATGACAGGGCCTGCCACTCAGTCACCTGAGTCTGCGGCTCAGTCCTCACTCGCCAAGGAGATCCTGATCACTTGTTGTGCTTTGGGCCTGAGAGGGACACAAACATCTGCATTACTCACCCTGCTCTCTAGGACTTCGCTCGGGAGAAGGGGGGTGCCAAGCTCTGTGTGTAGAACTAAGGTAGAAATATGCCCCCTGGGGGCACCTGGGTGGCTCAGTTGGTTAAGCGACTGCCTTCGGCTCAGGTCATGATCCTGGAGTCCCTGGATCGAGTCCCGCATCGGGCTCCCTGCTCGGCAGGGAGTCTGCTTCTCCCTCTGACCCTCCTCCCTCTCATGCTCTCTGTCTCAAATAAATAAATAAAATCTTTAAAAAAAAAAAAAAAAAAAAAAAAAAAAAAAAAAAGAAATATGCCCCCTGGTGCTGAGGAGGGAGAGAATGCCGTGAGCTGGGGGACAGAGGACCACTTCTGAAGGACGGGTCGGCCAAGCACAGCTGTGGTGAATCAGGGTCCGATCTAATCCCATGAACCGAGGCACGGGCGGAAGGCAAGAGAGACGGTGTGAACGGGGAACAGCAGTGAGTTCGCTCAGCTAGACTAGAGCTGCTTGTCCAGTGTGGTAGCTTCTAGCCACGTGTGGATATTTAAATGAATCAAAACTAAATACTGTACCAAATTCAGTTCTTCATTCGTACCAGCCACGTTTCAAGTGTCCCACGGCCACAAGTGGCTAGCAGCCACTCTACCGTCCAGCGCAGGTATAGTGTTTCTGTCTTTGCAGAAAGTTCTAGTGGCCGTGGCTGGGCTAGCATGAAGTAGGGGGTTGTGTGGGGCAGACTGCAGTGGGCCTGGAACAGCTGGTGGAAGACTTTCTGGACTTTAGGTTGGAGGCCAGGGAGGGACCAGAGCAGGAAGGCTCTGCCCTGAGCATGTCGCTCTAACAGCAGGAGCAGGGTGGATCTTCAGGGAGATTGGAGGCCGGTGATGGTTTAAAGCAGGAAATGTCAGTGGCTCGAAGTGAGCCACGGGAGGGAGAGGTTGTAGGTGGAGGTGAGGACACGGCTGAGCGGGGGACAGAGGTCAGGGGAGGGGGAAGTGAGAGATTCTCGGCGATTGGAAGGAGGGTGGTGGTAGGGACAGAAGTCCGGAATATGGACAAGTGGCGATCTGAGAGAAAGTCCAGGTCAGCCCCCTAAACAGCAGTCCTCGGTGGACACAACTGTGGGGACCCCTGGGCCCGAGGACCACGGCCGGTGCTGTGGACATGGGGCCTTACGTGGAACCGCAGGATCACTCTGAGTACCCCCTGCATCCGTGTGAAGCACACGTCTGTCTGACTCCCATTCTCCTCCCTCCCTCTTGAGAATCTGCGAGACGGGAGATGGTGTTCAGAGTATGGGGTGTGTGCTCGTATGGTATGTCCTAGAAGCAAAAACCCTCAAAAGTCGTAAATAGTCCTAAGCTGTGTGAGATGGAAAGTGGCCACGTGTGTGTGAAGGGTCCTGGAGCCTCCCAGACACATCGGGGAAGCGCTTTCCAGAGGAACGGACCCGGGCGCGCGCTTACCCTCCCCCTCCCCCGCATCTCGGGCCAACCTTGCAGGTCCAGGATGGCCGCTCCACCAGCTACCCGTCCCTCCTCAGCCACCTGACCTCCATGTACCTGAACACCCCAGTGCTTGCCCTGCCTGTAGCCAAGAGGCAGCTCCCGGGCCCCAGTCTGCGCTCCTTTCATCCCCTGGCCTCCTCTCTGCCCTGTGACTTCCACCTGCTCAACCTGCGTACGCTGCAGGCCGAGGTGAGTGTCCCGCTCCGCTCCGCACCCCAGGGCCAGGCTCCAGCCTTTCCGCACCCGGACTCCTCCCGGGCCCAGTACTGCCTGCTGGATAGCGGTGCTCTTCCACCTGTGAGCCCTGAGTGGCCCCGGCCCCCCCACCGCCCCTTGTGTGTCTGTCACCCAGGATGACGCCTTGCCTTCGGCGGAAACTGCGCTCATCTTACACCGCAAGGGGTTCGACTGTGGCCTTGAGGCCAAGAACTTGGGCTTCAACTGCACCACAAGCCAAGGCAAGGTGAGCGCGGCCCAGGTATGGGCAGGAAAACGGGAAGGCTGCCGTGAGGGGGGCAGTGAGGGTGAGACTGGGGGTGGGGGTCCCTCCAGGGCGTTTTGGAGAGAAAGGGAGAAGCTGTTGACGAGAGAAAAGCAAGCGAGGCCTGGTGGGGGCACGTTCTGGGGCAGGGCATACAGCCGGAGACGTGTGCTCGGTGAGCAGAGGCCTCTGTCAGACGAGGTGGGAAACCCCAGCGTGGACCCAGACGTGGTCCTAAAGGACCCACGTGCGGGAGGCACCATGTCGCCTCCGTGAAGTTCTTCAAGAGGTGACCGGGCGTACAGAGGAAGAGCGCCCAGCACAGCCCCGTACCGTGTTCCCCTCCACAGGCGGCCCTGGGGAGCCTCTTCCACGGCCTGGACGTGGGTTTCCTGCAGCCGACCTCCCTGACGTTACTGTACCCTCTGGCCTCAGCCTCCAACAGCACTGACGTCTATCTGGAGCCCATGGAGATCGCCACCTTCCGCCTCCGCTTGGGCTAGGGCTTCCTGTGGCCTGAAGAGAAAGTTCATCCACAGAGACTGCCTCTTACACGAGGTCGGGTGGGACAAACCGGATGGGTATCCTGTCCCGATCTACCTCTCGGAACTGTGACACGCTGGGCTCCGCCCTCATTTTCTGTTTATCGTTGCTTCTGTGCCCGGTGGCAGTCCCAGGCCCCGTGTCGGGTAGACAGGGCAGACACCAGTGAGATCGTGACAAGAGGGCCCTGGGTCAGAGTGCGCGGTGCCGGCCTCAGCTTTGGGTTATGAGTGGCGCCCAGTTGGGCACAGGCTCAAGCACCCATCATTGTCCCATAATGGGATGGAGGAGAAGCAGGGTCAGAACAGGTAGGGGAGGCTGAGTGGGTAGCAGCCCAGCGCCGGGGTCACTGGAGGCAGGACCTGGCTCTAGGGGGACCCTCCGGTTACGGAGGGACTGCTTGTCCGGACGTGACCAGCAGGAGCTGAGTGACGGCTGGGAGGAGGGGGATGGGGACCCAGAGTTAGCACTGGGGCAGCAGAGGAATCCCTGCTTTCTGTGACGGTTCCGCCCTAAGAGCTCCCTGGCCTCCCCGGCTCGGGGCTGTGGGGTGGCAGGAAGGACTCGCAGAGACCATGTCATGGCCAGAGCTCAGAGGATGCTTCAGATACCAAACCTCCCCCCCACCTCATCGCGGGCGCTTGGTCTGTGTGTGTTGATGTGTGGGATGGTGGCAGGGACGTGGGGGTCCTCCATCCTCCCTGACCCCTCTTTGGTTCCCGAACTCTGGACACCACTGTCCTCGGGAGCTCCTTCCCATCCTGGGGGCATTTGGTCTGGCACACCTCCTTTCCCTGGAGAGAAAGTGGAGCCTCCAAGCGCCCATAAGTGCGAGCAATTTGAGAAGGCTTTCAGCCCCATCCCTACGTGGGGGGTTCATCCTTCTACAGAAGTGTTTGACTCCTGGCACGGGGACTGGGGATACATAGCGTACATTAGGGAGTATGGCTGCTCATCAGCCTTCATTTCAGCTTCGATTAATAGAGAAAAGTTTCTGATCGTCTCTATAGACGCTGAAACGATATTTGGTAAAGTTTAAGATCTATCCCTTATTAAAAATCTTAGTAAGTTAAGATTACAAAGAGACGTCCTCATCTAGATAAAAAATCTCTATCACAAACCAGCAGTTAATGACATTCTAAAGAACCACAAGCATTCCCATACAAGTCGGAAACTAGGGCACTCGTTAGCAGTGTCCCGGCACTGTCACCCCCGCAGGAGAGCAGGGGAAGGAGAGGAAGTTACAACTGTCATTATTTGCAGACGATAGCATGGCCGACCTACAAAATCTAAGAGAGTCAGCAGGAGACCTACTAAGATCATTCTGTAAGCGGACACAGACGGTAGACATGATGCTCCTGGAAAGATCTCGGTTCTCTCTGAATCAACCCATAAATTCAGTGTATTCCAGCATGGTTGGATACTTTGGGAATTTGATAAGTTCTCAAGTTCATGTGGAAGAGTAAATATGTGAGAATACTAAATTCTGATGCTGGTGAGTCAGGGGCGGGGAGCGCTGAGGGGGTAAAGGACTGCCCAGGAGTGGCCCCTGTGACCTGGGGTGGGCTCGGACAGACAGGCTCATGGAACAAAAGGCAGAGTCCAGAAGCAGACCCCCAGGTAGACAGGAACTTAGTAGGATAAAAGGAGTATTTGAAGTGGGGGAAAAAGATGGATTGTTTAATAAATAGGGGTTTAAGACAACTGGCCCTCAAAGTAAGAGTTAGATCTGTAATTCACAGTTGCCACAAAAATTAGTTCGAGGGAAGAAACCAAAAAACTTGCAACTACAAAATTACTGAAGGAAATACAGGAGATTATTACATTTCTGGTGTGGGAGGCTCTGTTTTAAACATAACACGAAACCTAAAAGATCTAATAAGGGAAAAGATAAACAGATTTTACCACCCCAAAATATTGAAAGTTTGTGTATGATGGAAAACATCATGGTTACAACACAAATGACTGACTGGGAGAAAATGTTTGCTGCACTTCCAATATTGATGAGTTAATTACTCCAGGAGAAAAGCTTGCTTTGGGGTCCTTGGAGAGGGTCCCCCGGGCCTGCTCAGTCACTCCCCGAACAAGAGTTCTTCCAGATCATCCAGGGCTGTTGTTGCCAGCGTCGGGCCAGGGCACATGGAAGCCCATCTAAATCGTTGTGGAAGAAATAAGATTACCAATGTGAGGTGCTCAGCACAGAGTGCCCGGTACCTAGAGGAGCTTAATAAATAGGAACTGTAATCTTATTAGTAAAGGACGCTAAGCAGTTATATCACAGTAGGTGGTATTTGCTAGTATCACGTGACTTGTAATCAAATGATAAGGGAGACTCTGTGAACCGCGCCCCCCAGAAATGAGCAGAATAAAGGCTCTTACCTTTGGAGGTCTTAGATGTACCACGGAATTATTCATCTGCCAGGAACAATGTTTAATCCTGCACACTGGCCTTTTAAAACTACTCCAGGCAGCATGTTCAAGATGTGGTCCAGAATCACCAGGAGTGTGTGTTTCAGGCCCAGCTTTTTGGCCTGTCCTGGCGAGGGCTGCCCCTCAGCCTGGATGTGGGGATGAGGGGCCCATGGAGCAGAGACCGAGCCTCGTTGAGACAGCCCTATAACGAGAACCAGAGACAGACCTTCCAGTTGTGTGTGGGAGGGAAAGCCAATTCCGGGGCACCATCTACTGAACCCATTTCTGGGGGTAGCAGTCAAAGAATCTGCATTTTTAACAAGCTTCCAGGCGATTCTTTTGCATACAGTAGTTTGGAAATGGGCCTATGATTTTAAGGCAAGCAGCAGCCCTTTACCACGGAGCCCTGGCACTGAGGCCTCCGTTCTGAGGGTTATAATCATAATTAGAACCAGGACAGGACACAGAGGCAACTTCAACCCCTGGCACTAGAATTCTCTTCCTCCCTGCACCCCTCCAGCCACTTAGAACTACCCCATTTCCGCAAAGAAAGGAACTCTGGGAAGGCGGACTGAAACCAAGAACCATGTCCTCCTGTGCAGGCCGAGCCAGGCACGGACTGTGCTCTGACTCAGCTTCCCTGGGGAGTGGGCAGAGAGACCCGTAGAAAGAACAGCGTCTCTCAGCGGAAGCTCATCTGCCTCCCCCACCATCACAGCAGTCGGCTACCTGCCCTCACGCCCTCATGGAGGGGGAGAAGCACAGTCCGGGTGGGGGGAACGAGGCTCACCGCCCAAAATCGAGATCTCTGTTTTTCACTAACAAAACTGTGTACACATAAACACTTCGAGGGGCAGGTCTCATAGCAAGAACAGGTGAGGGAGGAGGAGGCCAGATCCTTCAAAACAAACCCTGATTTTACTTAGGGTCTGTGGGAAATCAATTCAGAACTTCTTTTTTTTTTTTAAGATTTTTTATTTTTTATTTATTTATTTGAGACAGAGAGAATGAGAGACAGCATGAGAGGGAGGAGGGTCAGAGGGAGAAGCAGACCCCTTGCCGAGCAGGGAGCCCGATGCGGGACTCGATCCAGGGACTCCAGGATCATGACCTGAGCCGAAGGCAGTCGCTTAACCAACTGAGCCACCCAGGCGCCCTCAATTCAGAACTTCTTAACGGTTACCAGGACTAAGTGGATCTGCAGAGAGTCTCTGTCCAGTCTGGGTCCTGACTTTGGACCCTCCCCGAACTGAGGATAAGCCTGAACTGAAAGTGAACTCTGTGGGCACAGGAGACCTGGAGGGGTGGGAGATGAGGACTTCCCAGCCCTTGGAACACGAGAGGGTTGAAGGTTTAAAACCCAGCACGGAGTGTGGAAGCCTCGAGGAGCTCTCCGGGGGGGGGGGGGGGGGGGGGGGGGCGGCGACGGCGACGGGTTTCCCTGTCGGCATGCTGAAGGACTTGCATTGAAACCAGGGCGTGAGCACACCTGCAATGTTACCTCCTCAACTCCTGATGCCTCCGAATGGGGGGTGAGATACTCACAATGCAAAAGCATAGTCCTCCTAAGACCGGAGGGACTCCCCTTTTGACCCAGAACTGAGAACAGCGATGGCCCTGAGCAGATGGGAAGCTGCACAGTTCAAGGGAAAGAGCAGTGGAGGGGAGCCGTGCCAGGCCGTCGAGTCCACGCGGGACACACAGGTAACCGAGAATGACCGAGGAATGCCGAGAGGCCAGAACCAGGCCAAGTGAGGAGCACAGGACGAGAAAGCAAAGAGGCTGCAAGGAAAAACATGACAAAATGTAAACAGCCCCAAATAATACTTTATTGAAATAGAGTCTACATGTGGGAGAAACACTGGATTTGGTGCAGACGACAAAGAGGGATTTGGAAAACAGAGCTGAGGAATCACTTGAAGATACCACAGAGCTAAAAGGAAAATATATAAGAGAGGTTAAGAAATATGGCAGATAGGGGCGCCTGTGTGGCTCATTTGGTTGAGCAACTCTCAGTTTTGGCTCAGGTCATGGTCGCAGGGTCCTGAGATCAAGCCCTCTGTCAGGCTCTGCACTCGGGGGAACCTGCTTGAGATTCTGTCTCCCTCTGCCCCTCCCCCACTGGAGTGTTTTCTCTCTCTCAAATAAATATGTAAAATCCTAAAAGAAAAAAAAAAGAAATATGGCAGATAGCCTTGGAAGCATTGACATAATGTTTAGTAGCACTTTTAGGAGAGACTAGTGAGTAGGGAAGAGGAAACCATCAAAAGGATAGTGGGTGCGGTTCTTCAGAAATGAAGAAAGATATGTATGAGTCCTTGGAATGAAAGTGCTCAGCAAGTTCCAAGAAAGGGATGTTTAAAAAAATCCTCCCCTACATATATTGCAAAAAAAACCTTAAAAATCAACCAGAAAGAGACTCCAAAAGGAAAGACCACCAAAATGACAGCAGACATCTAGTTAGTATCAATAGATAACCTGGAGTCCCTGAAATAATACAATCAGACTTTGAGAACATAACTGCGAACTCTGGATCTGGTGTTAGCTATGCTCCGATTCAGAGTGAGGGAGAAATGGCATTCCAAACATGCAAAGGCTAAGAGTTTGCAGTGTACAAAACTTCAGTGGAAGAACAAAGGTGTTCTTCAGAAAAAAAAAAATCCAGGGTGCATAAACCAACGGTGGGTAGACCTAATAAGTATTGGCTATAAGCTCTAATATAGCTTTAAAAGAGGCAAGAATGAATATTCCAGATAGCAATAATGTTAGGTATTACTCCTGGGGTCCTTGTTCAGAAGAAATAAAAGCACACCTCATGATTCATATGCACAAAGAAATGGATGACGATGTTCACTGGAGCGTTATGTGGTGTGGTGAAAAGCTGGAAACAAAACCTGTCAGAAAGGGCAATGCATAGTGGCACCTGACTGGCTCAGTTGGTACAGCATAGGACTATTGATCTTGGGGTTGTGGGTTCAGGCCCCACATCGGGCACAGAGCTTATTTAAATTTAAAAAAAAAATTTTAAAAGGAATGCACAGGGACGCCCGGATGGCTCAGTCAGTTAAGCATCTGCCGCCTTCAGCTCAGGTCATGATCCCAGGATCTTGGGATCAAGCCTCACATCAGGCTCCCTGCTCAGTGTGGAGCCTGCTGCTCCCCCTGCTTGTGCGCTCACACGCTCTCTCTCTCTCTCTGACAAATAATAAATAAAAAAGGGAATTTGTAAAGAAAATACTGCCCATTCATATAATGAAATACTAGAAAGTAGTTTAAAGGAATGAGCTAAACATTCATGTGCATTGACAGGGATAAATCTCAAAAGCATTGCTAAAGGAAAAGAAAGTTACAGGGGTGCCTGGCTGGCTCAGTCGGTAAAGCATGCAACTCTTGATCTCAGGGTTGCAAGTTTGAGTCCCATGTTAGGTGTAGAGATGACAAATTAAAAAAAAAAAGTTAGAGTGATACATACTTATGACAAAATACTCCAAAACAAGTACTATAAGGACAGTCTTTTCAACAAATGGTGTTGAAAGAAGTTCTACTAGGGGTAAAATGCTATCAAACAGCATCGCCCACTACAGAAAAATCGATTGAAAAGAGTCAATGTGGCAAGCTAAATTATTAAGAAACGGCGACAGCCACCCCACCTTCAGCAACCAGCACCCTGATCAGTCAGCAGCCATCAAGGATGCAAGATCCTCCACCAGCAAAAACATTACAACTCACTGAAAGCTCAGATGATGATTGGCAGTTCTTTGGCAATAAAGTATTTTTAAATTAAGGTACACTGTTTTCTTTCTTTTTTTTTTTTTTAAGATTTTATTTATTTATTTGAGAGAGAGAGAATGAGAGACAGAGAGCACGAGAGGGAGGAGGGTCAGAGGGGGAAGCAGACTCCCTGCCGAGCAGGGAGCCCGATGCGGGACTCGATCCAGGGACTCCAGGATCATGACCTGAGCAAAAGGCAGTCGCTTAACCAACTGAGCCACCCAGGCACCCTAAGGTACACTGTTTTCTTAAAGACCATGCTACTGCACACTTAATATACGACAGTATATGTGTAAACATAACTTATATACACTGGGAAACCAGAAGTTTCATTTGACCCGCTTTATTGTGATATTCCCTTTATTGTCGTGGTCTGGAACTGAACCTGCAATATCTTCGAGTTATGCCTGTAATCTCAAATGGCTTAGGGGAAAAAGTTACTGTACTTCCAACTTTTAAGTTTCTGATTGTTTAAGAATATATATTGAGTTAAGGGCCCCTGGGTGGCTCAGTCGGTTAAGCGACTGCCTTCGGCTCAGGTCATAATCCTGGAGTCCCTGGATCGAGTCCCGCATCGGGCTCCCTGCTCGGCGGGGAGTCTGCTTCTCCCTCTGACCCTCCTGACCCTCCCCCCTCTCATGCTCTCTCTCTGTCTCTCTCTAATAAATAAATAAATAAAATCTTTAAAAATAAATAAATAAATAAATAAAAAAGTTTAAAAAAGCTGCAGATATACATATTTTATTTGATATTAAATAGATATATATAAACTGCAGGTTTATCATATATACATTTATTAAGAGTACAATAATAAATATACTATCTGTTAATATATAAAGTATATTACTATGCTATTAAATTATTGATTTATTAACATTCATATATAAGTATATGTGTAAATATATGTATTCAAGTGTAAGGAATAAAGTTTTTATTTTTATTATTTTTTTAATATTTTATTTATTTATTTGACACAGAGAGAGAGAGAGCACAAGCAAGGGAAGTGTCAGGCAGAGGGAGAAGCAGGCTTCCCGCCGAGCGGGGAGTCCGATGCGGGGCTCGATCCCAGGACCTGGGATCATGAACTGAGCCGAAGGCAGACGCTTAACCATCTGAGCCACCCAGGCGCCCCAGGATTAAAGTTTTTATTTTTATTTATTTAATTTATTTATTTATTTTTTAGCAGACTCCCTGCCGAGCAGGGAGCCCGATGCGGGACTCGATCCCAGGACTCCAGGATCATGACCTGAGCCGAAGGCAGTCGCTCAACCAACTGAGCCACCCAGGCGCCCCAGGAATAAAGTTTTTAAAAGTCCTGTAATCCTACCTCCCCGCAAATAATCTATTAAACTAAAACCAAAATTCTCCAAAACATACCGCATCCTGGCCAGCCTTAAGAGGACTACACTGAACTTTGAACTTTGCTGATCCATTTACCTGGGACTATCCTGAAACTCGTTTCCTTTTAAAGTCGCCTTCTTGCGGCCCTTCACCATTTTTTCCTGCAGAAACTGCGCCGGGGCCTTCTTTGGGTAAATAACCACCGTGGTCTAGCACGAAAAGGCCTTTGACTTAATTTCCCCGCCAATAAGCCTCAGCGGCTCGGCGGCGACCAGAAATCCGTCACCTGCAGACCCCTGCGCACGGACGCCACCTAGCGGCCGGCCGCTTCTCCCAGGCCCCGCCCACCACAGGCCTCCGGGGGCGGGGCCGCCCCGCCCACCACAGGCCTCCGGGGGCGGGGCCGCCCCGCCCACCACAGGCCTCCGGGGGCGGGGCCGCCCCGCGGCCACTTCCGAAGGCGCCCGGAAGTTCTTGTCACTTAGCAAGCAAAGGACCCGGCGGCGTGATAGGGCTGAGATCTGGGGTGGCCTGGGGACGGCGACGAGTTTTCGGGGCGGTCTGGGGTGAGGGACGCGCAGTACCCCCACCGGCCCTGTCCTGTTGTTGCTGGTATGCAGGTGGCATTCCTTTCCAAAACATCTGTCATCCCGTCCAACTTTCTTAAAGAGGAAGACTACCATTTCTTGAACACCTATGTGTCAGGCTCCGTCTGAGACGGGACCTAGTCTAACCCTAGAAATTACACAGCCTATTTCACTGATAAGGAAGCCAGGCTCGGGGCGGGGGCCGGGGGGGTGGGTCCGAGGCCCTCAACGTGAGCGACCTGTCCCTGGGGGCACGCAGTCGGTACCCCGCCCTGCCGAAGGGCAGGTATCCCGCCTCCTGCTCCCCATTTGGGAGGCTGAGGAAGGAGCAGCAAGAACTTAAAGCTTTACCCAAAATGCTTTATTTTTCCATAATGACTTATGAACTAGTGTTTCCAGAAGCCCGAGTCCCCGAGGGGCCAGAGTTCACTCATACAGAATAGCAAACAGACCCAAGGCCTGGAGAAAGGGCAGTAAGTGCATTAGGATTGGACGGGCTGCATCTGATTTCCACAATCCAGGGCTCAGCTTAGTCGGCAGGACACATTCAGAGTGAGAAGAGACAAGTATTTTTTGGCCTCTCGTATCTGGGCTGAACCAGTCAGGAAGGAGATGGAGAGGCAAGGAAAGGCTGGAATAGGAATCCTTTCTGGCCTGGGCCAAGGCTGGAGTCTGGGCCCCTGATGGTTCCAAGCACTGCTCAGAGTGTCAGCCCCCGCTCCTTAAACAGCTGCTTTAGAGCCTCTTCCAGCTGTCGGTTTGTTCCCTGAAGCCCCTTCACCACTTGCGCTGCCCACTCGAAGTATTCCTGGACTCTATGTTCAGACCATCCTGCATGAGAATGGACAGAAAACTGCTCACATGGCATCCAGGACAGCATTGTATTTTGCCCACTTCTGCCCACTTCCTGGAGGGCGTGGTGCAGGGCCACGAGATGTTCCCGATGGGATTTGTCCTGAAAACGTCCCCTTGGCCCAGTTACTGCACTTCTACGGTGTGAAAGATCAGAGTGGTCTAGTAGGATTAGCCGGGGGAATCAACAAGAAGGCCAAGGCTCTTTTTTTTTTTCCATTGGAACTGACCAACCTGTGCCTCCAGAAGGAGGACATCCCTCCCCTTTCCCTCAGAGCAGGTGGCGGGGGGGGGGGGGGCGCGTACCCTCTGGGGTGCAGCGATTCAGGTCCCTCAGATTGTACAGCTTGTCTGCCAGCTTCACCAGTTTAGCCCTGGGACTGCTGTGGGGTGCCTGCTCCACCTGCAGCCGCTTTCTCTCCAGCTTGGGCAGAGTCTTGTCATCTGTTACTTCCTCCACCAGACGCCGCACCTGAGCGCCAAAGTGCAGCTCCACCTCATCCAAGGTGGTGTCTGTGTCCTCCACTGTGTCATGGAGCAGGGCTGCCTGGGGACAGGCTTCCACTTAGCCCTGTGACTCCAGGCAAGGGGTGCCCAGGGCCGAATGCGGTCCCTGATCCCCACCCTAGCCTCCTAGGAGAGAACGAGGGGAGTTACCTGTAACACCACAATGTCAGTGATTCCCGCCTCATGGGTCAGGATCCGGGCCACACCTGACGGGGCAAAGCAGGAAGTCAGACCTGAGGGAGTCCCAGGCTGCGTGCTGCGGATTTTGCAGAGCCAGATGTGGCCTCTCACTAGCCGGATGGCCTTCACTCTCTTTGGGTGTCAACTGTGCAGAGGAACAATCATGCCTACCGCCCCGGGGTTGTTGTGAGACTTACACACGGAAAGTGCCCGGCACAAAGCCTGGTACAGAGTAGGTGCTCAATGCGGCGTAGGCCCTCCGCCCGCGTCCCCTTCCCGGTCCCCACCCCCTAGACACCGCTGCGGTCGCTCCCCGGGCGGTGCGCCCACCGATAGGGTGGTTGATGTAGGGGGTCCCTTCGGGGTCCTTTCGCCGCTGCAGTCGGTGCTTGCGAGCCGCGAAGTCCGCAGCCTCCACCAGCTGCGCGGCCTCGGAGCCCATTGCGCGGGTGGGGCGGGCGACTGATGTCCCGGGAGCCCCTGGAGCACAGATGGAGCGTCCGTAGCGCCCCCTGGCTCCGCGGAGGCCAGTGACTGCGGAGTCTGGCGCACGCAGGTTTCTCTGGAGCTGACGTCCGGGCGCAGAGGGCAACTGGTGTGGGCAGCTGTCCTCAGCATCGCAGCCCCTGGTTCAGACGCTCTGCTGGGGGTGCAAGAAGGACATGGCCTGCCTCCCTGGGAACCCACAATCTCGGGGAAGGAGGAAGACAATGTTCTCACAGTGTGCTGGATTCAGGGCAGGAAGACACAGGGGACCGTGGTACTTTGGAGGAAGGGCAATTCACCTAGCCTCCCCGGGTCAAAGACAACCTCTTCCAGGAGGATCCTCTCCTCCCATGAAAAGACAATCTTCAATGTCAATGCTCTGAAAATTCTCAAAGTGTTCTAAAAATGGTTTTCCCTGCAGGGAGGGACTGGTTGGAATGGGCATGGGAGCCTCCCCTTTGGGCCCAGAAGACCCTACGGCCTGACCTTCTGGAAATTGGAGCTTACACTAGAAGCCTGCCTAATTGCTTCAGGTTTAGACTCCCAGGCAGCAGTGATGTTTCTGCAAGAACTGTCTTCTTTGTTCTCAGGTGCTGCATTTCTTTCTTGTACCATAAGTGTTCCTGCTTCAGTCCCCAGACACCTGCTGTGGGCCCCTCAGATGATAACTGTTGTCATGCTGTTCTGGGAGCATGGCACTGTAAGGTCTCCATAGACTAGATTAACAACACTACTGGCTGGTGGCCTTGGGCCTTCTAGAGAAATCCCCTGTCTCGGCAGATGGCATCTATGAGATTTAAGGGGTAAGAGAGACCTGGAGACCCTGGAAGAGCTTTTCCTGTGAACTGGTTTGCAAAGTATAGTACTCCAATCAGACTGATAGCTTTTATGTTTTGGCTGGTAGCTGGGGCAGACAAGGGCTCAAGGGAAAAGTTAATGGAAGGACTTGCCCTTGTTTTTCAGCTAGTCTTAGTGGTTGCCATGATTCAGAAGTTAGGGAGGAAAGCTCCAAACGCTGTTACTGAGGTCCCTGGGGCCTGGAATGGAACGACCAGAATTCCCAGGGCTTACACAGCAGCCTGGAAATTGAGAGTGGGTAGAGAGAAATAAACCTGGCTCTAAATGCTTGTCTGTTCTTCAGCCTAATGCCTCAACTTCTCTCTCATGCTTTCTGCCCTCTAGTCTGCTGAACCTTTTCCCCTTCAGCTCAGAAAACCTTGGGCAGCTGGGAGACACAGTCCCCACGTTTTCCAACAGAAGATAGAAACTTGATCACTTTCATCTCTTTCCAGAGGTCTGTGATAGAAGCTTCAGGTTTGTGTTACTGGCGCCCAGAGGCCGTGCGGTTTTGATTATTTCCCTCCTGTCTGCAGCCATGGCTTAGAAAGAGAGATGTTGGGGTTCCTAAGACCAGCGCTGAGGTGGAGGTGACCTCTCATGGGCTTTCAGAGGAGGCTGGGCCTTTTGCTGACTGGCCTGACCGTGGGGCGGCTGCTGCTCTTCAGCTGGGTGCCGCTTGCTCAGCCGACCTCTCTCTCAGGTACACCTCCTCTGCGCGCACCCCTCTTCAGGCCCCTGCAATCACTGCAGGGTATGAGCTGCTCTGGGCAGCCGGTGGGGGCGGGGAAGGGAGCCTGCCCTTTTAGTAATGGCTGATCATTTCCACTCTCCAGAAGGGTTGGAGTTGGGTGTGGGCAGGCCATTCTTGCCTGTCTCCAGCCCCTTTGCTCCTCCCTTCAGCACTGGCCCACCACCCCGACTTGTGCCAGACCACCTGGGACGCTGATGGCCGCTACTATCCCGGTTTTTTCTGTCCCCGGCTCTCTGATACCCCGGAGGAAGCCTACTGCTGCCGCCTGCAGGCTGCAGGGGGCTCCTGCTGCACCCGGGCTGAATTTGAGGCCTTGCACCAGGTCAACCTGTCCGCCCTTCCGCCCCCACCCATCCTCAGGTGAGAACTCCAAGCCCCAGAGCCACTGGGACACTGGCAAGGTGTTCCAGCATCCGGAGTTCTGTTTTTAAATTCTGGGGCGGGAGGCTTGTAACATACAGACGAGGGGAGGGGCCGACTTCAAACAGAAAATCGCGTGAATACATAATGACAGTTATGAGAAAGGAAGCTCAGGGGGCTGTGTAAGCGGGTAACAGGGAGCCATTGCATGCAATGTGGGGCTGGGGTGAGGTGGGACGGGTGTCAGACTGAGAGGATCTTGGAGTGGATTACAGCCATTATAGTCGGGGTTTTCAAAACTGAATCTGTCCATGGATGGCTTCATGGCACCTGTGAGCCCCCTGAATTTCTATTTATGAATTCTACATTTATCCGGGGAGAGGGGTGTCCCGAGCTTTCTCGGGACCCTCAGCGGCTCTGTAACCGACAGGCTGCAGCAGGAGGCGCGCGGCTGGGGCCAGCACCCTAATACTCTCCCCTCTCCTACAGGGGCCGGGGCCCGCTCCTAGCCCTGGGCCTCTATACCCTGCTGCTCGTGGCCCTGATGACCGCCGACCTCGTACACTTCTGCCGCGGTCGGGGTGGTGGCCGGCGCCGGGGCCTCTGCCGGCCTCCCTCTGGGTCCTCCGCCGCGCGCCCCCTGCAGGTCCCGGTGGGAACAGACTAGGCGCGCCCACGGCCTGTCTGCACCGCGGACCCGAGCCCCGCCCACCAGAGCCCCGCCCACCGGCGCGCTCTCGCCTTGGCCCCGCCCCTCCCCTGCCTCCGCCTCTGACGCAAGACCGGGGTGGGGCGGAAGACGCCAGATTCCTGAGCCTGGTCCCCCTCCGCCCCAGAGACTGCGCCTGCGCGCGCCCTGGACGCCTGCTGCGCGATGACTGTGAGTGGTCCAAGCGCCCCCAAGCCCCGGCCGGTCGCCCCCGGGGTGCGTACCCATCCTACCGCTCCATCACCACTTCCCACCTGCTCTGACCGTTCCCCGGCCTCCTTCTCCCCCAGTCTTGGCCCTCCACGGGACTTGCCCCTGACCCCCGGTCTCCTTTCTCCCAGCTTCCCCGGCCCTGGCCTGAGCCCACCCCCGACGTTTCCACCCATTCCCTCCACAGGCCAGCGCGGCGGAGCAGCTGCGGAAGGAGGGCAACGAGCTGTTCAAATGCGGGGACTACGAGGGCGCCCTGACGGCCTACACTCAGGCCCTGGGTCTGGGTGCTACGCCCCAGGACCAGGCCATTCTGCACCGAAACCGGGCCGCCTGCCACCTCAAGCTGGTGAGGGAGCCGGCTGCTCTTCTTCTGCCCTCCCTGGGCCCGGTTTGCCCAGCTCGCTGTTGTTTGGGTTCCGACTGGGCATTCACCTTCCCAGGCCACCTGCGCTTACTTGTCTGATGTCTTTTGGGCCTCGGGGTGGTGGGGAATCTAGTGGCTCTAGGGCACAGCCCTGCTGCCCAGCTAGTGGCCTGAAAGGGAGACGACCAGCCTCTCAAGCTCCTGTTCCTTTTCTTAACAGGAAGATTACGACAAAGCAGAAACCGAGGCATCCAAAGGTAGGGGACTGTGGGCTGGGGGGCAGAGCTGTGGGGCTTCTAATGGTGGGCAAGGACTCTGGGACCACTGCACCTTCACATTTTCCTTTCCCTTTGGCCCCAGAAACACCTCTGCCTTCTTTCTTTTCCACTTCCTCGGGCATTTCCTTCTCTGCAGCTACCCTCACCTTTCTGAGGCTGGAATACTGAGCCCCACATCTGTCCCCCTACCTTCCTCGGGCCCTCAAGACCTTTCCCTACTGCTCTTGCCTGGAGACAGTGGCCTCATGGGTGCTGACAGAGCTCCCGTTTGTGCTCAGCCATTGAAAAGGACGGAGGAGATGTCAAAGCACTTTACCGGCGCAGCCAAGCCCTAGAGAAGTTGGGCCGCCTTGACCAGGCTGTCCTCGACCTGCAGAGATGTGTGAGCCTGGAGCCCAAGAACAAAGTTTTCCAGGAGGCCCTGAGGAACATCGGGGGCCAGATTCAGGAGAAGGTACACGAATGACCGAGAGAGAGGCAGAGAGAGAGAGGCATTGACAGGTGGTAGAGGGACACTGGTAAATGGATCTGGGCAAAGGATGTAAACACAGGAGATACTGATGGCAAACAAGCTTATGGAATGATGCTCAGCCTTGCTAGTGGTTAGGGAGAAGCAAATGGAAATAACAGCAAGGTGCTGTCTTTTCGGTGGTCTGTTTGGCAAACTTTTAAAGTATATACATTTTGCTAGAAGGGAGGCAGACGCTTAAGTGGTGGGCTTGCTCATGACTGCCGGAGTTGGTATATATTGGTACAGCTCCTTCGGGGAGTGCCTGAGCATAGCTCTTAAAATTTTAAATGAGCGTACCCTATGATCCAGTATGTTTACTTGCTGTCTTCCCTGGAGAAGCCTTGCCCATGTACACGAGCAGGCGTGTGTGTTTATTTCAGCCTTGTTTGTTGTAATGAAAAATTGGAGCTTGGCTAACTGCCCAGCAATAGGGGAATGGCTAAATAAGTGGGGTGCTGCCCTTACTGTGGACTCTTATAGTTACCGAGAATAGGTAGATTTCCATGTATAGATGTGGAAAGAAAATACTTCTTTTTTTTGTTTGTTTTTAAAGATTGTATTTATTTATTTGACAGAGAGATAGAGCACAAGTAGGCAGAGCGGCAGGCAGAGGGAGAGGGAGAAGCCGGCTCTCCGCAGAGCAGGGAGCCCAATGCGGGGCTCGATCCCAGGACCCTGGGATCATGACCTGAGCCGAAGGCAGACGCTTAACCGACTGAGCCACCCAGGCGCTCCAGAAAGAGAATACTTCTTAAATGAAAAAAAGCCAAGTATGCTGTAACACACATAGCACGATACCGTTTATGTTGAAACAGTACCCCACGTACACCCTCAAAAGTACCGTGTTTCTTCTGTGGGCCCACTTGGGTGTGTAAATCTGAAGAAAAATATTTTCAGAGATATGCGTCAAAATGATAACAGCATGACCCTTGGGGAAAGGAGTGGGATTGATGGAGTTTTTCAAAGAGATTTTGCTTCATCCATTAACTTCATGGTATAGAAAGAGACATTCTTGGTATAGTACATATGTTCAACGTTACTTTAGGAGAAAAGGACCTAAAGCCCATCGTGAACCACAACCAAGCTTGAATTAAGCAGATCACGTGATGTTACAATGCTGTCACAGTGAGAGCACGTAATACACTGGCAAACAGCTTACTGAAAGGTTGAGACTTGGGAAAGCAGGTCGTTTTTTCCTCCATGCCAGCTCTGTTCGGTCAGCAGGAGCTGCCTGAGCCCTGTGTTGAGATGGATGAGGAAGCAGGTTGGTGGGCCTAGCAGAACGTTCCATGCATGACTGGTTGGTCATGTCCGCCATGGATGCAAAGGGGGAAGCAGGGAGTGGCACATGTGCTAGGTACGTGCCACCATCCATGCCCTGGGCCGTGGGTCGGGAGAGGGCCTATGATGATCTTGCTCAATCAGATGATTTTTAAAAGTTGTCAGAAAGAGAATTCTGGAGTCCCAGGGAGTGTTTGCAGCTACCTCGTGGCCCGCTGACTCCCTTGCTACAGGTGTCCATGCTGGGTTGAACGCCATGGGCAGAGCACCCATGCTGCCACAACATGGAGGGCACCTCCGGGCGGGGGTGGCCCCGCGGCTCACAGGCTGCCTTCCCATCAGCCCTGGCGCCGCCCCTGCCGCCTGAGCGGGAAGTAGGTCAGAAGGGAAAACAGGCGTGGGACGTTTGGGTGAAGTGGCCAGGAGAGTCTCTTCCTGCCCAGGTGGCATGGTGGGAGCCCGAAGCCCAGGTGTGCTGGCTGTGCCTCCTAGGGACAGGAGCCAGGCCCTGGGAGGAGCAGAAGGGAGCACACAGGGAATGCGCAGTCTCTGGCGGAAAGAGTGACCTCCTCCGTGCCTCGTTGGCTTGTTGTAGGTGCGATACATGTCCTCAACGGATGCCAAAGTGGAACAGATGTTTCAGATACTCTTGGACCCACAAGAGAAGGGCACCGAGAAGAAGCAAAAGGTATAGGTCTGGACTGAGCGAGTGGGGGCAGAATTCCCACTACAGCCCCCCTCCCCCCCGGTGGTGCCCTCGCTGTGAGCCCGTGTTGGCCCCCCAGCTGCTGCTGGCCTGCTGTGGTGCATGGTGCTCCTCGGGCCACGCAGCCGGGCTCCCAGCGAGAACTTAGGGCCTGGGGCCTGCGTGTGTCCTTCTGCTTACTTACTGGAGGAAACTGAAGTTCGGAGAGGTTACATTTATGACAAGGTCACTCAGCTGCTAAATGGAAGCAGTGCGGTCCAGAGCTCAGGCTCGCGGCTCGCCCTGGCCTCTGCCGTATGCAGCGTCCACATGATGGTGCACTTCTTTGACATAGGCTTCCCAGAACCTGGTGGTGCTGGCCCGGGAGGATGCTGGGGCTGAGAAGATCTTCCGGAGCAACGGGGTTCAGCTCCTGCAACGCCTGCTGGACACGGGCGAGGCCGACCTGATGCTGGCAGCTCTGCGCACGCTGGTCGGCATCTGCTCCGAGCACCAGTCACGAGTAGGTGGGGCCCAGGGGCCAGTTACTGCCTCAGTCAGGCCCTCTGTTCCTCCATCCACCCACCCACCCTTCCACCCCTCACTGTGCCCGGAAGAACGGAAGGCAGAGTACAAGGAGACGTGTAATGAGAGGAGAACTTAAAATGGCTCCCAAAAAACCATCATGATTTGGGATGAACTGGGGCCTGTAAAAAGCAGAAGCGGCCCAATGACACCCTGAGCCCGTACTTTAAGTAGGCTTGAGCTAGGCTTTCCTGGAGCCGGCTCAGAGACCCCTTGTTTGGACTCATTCATTGTACAGTAAACGCAAGCTGTTGCAAGGAAAGGGGCCCCCGTCCTTCCCTAACCATCAAACTGGCATTTCCCCTGCAGGGGTGTCCTCCAGCCAGTGACGTGGTCAGTGATGGCACCCACAGCATCTGTACCATCGAGACAGGGACCAGATAGGAGGGGCTTGACCCTGAACTGGTTGTCAGTGTAGATGGGACATGTCCAGCACAGACACTTGTGCAAGAACAGTCCTGCCCTGGTGAAGTCCAGGCCCTAGCTCTTGCCTGAGCTGGCTGGACCAGGGGACAGGAACTCAACCCTTGGTTCCTTTGAGAGGTGCCCATAATTCTGAGATCAGAGATAGAGCTATGGGATATTCCGTGGAGCTCTTTAGGCCAGACTCAGGCTATATTTCTGGGTCTCCCAGGACTAAGTAAAGCCATGGGAATTCCGTCTACCTCCTTTAGCCTTCCTGCCCATCCCAGGTGACCCTCTGGGATATCCAGCTTAGAAATGGGCTGGAGAGGCCTTGTCGTCTGTTCCATGCATGTCCACATCCTCAGGCTGCAGACAGAACCTCAGGGTCACCATTGGAAAGGAACCAGGTGTCCTTGGACTTGGGAGTTACGGAGCTTGTCCAGGCTTCTGGGGTTCTGGGGAAACACGAACCAAAGCAGCTGCTCCCGGGGTCACAGTGTTGCTTGTCTCTGACGAGCTGAGGAGAGGTAGTGGTGGATTCCTCTGGAATGTTTCCTTTAGGAAGCCGTTCCCGCAAAACAATCCTGGTGTCACCCCGGGTCACACAGTCAGGCCCACTCTGATTCCACTTGGCCT